AGTGCTCAAATAAAGATTATCTCAAGCTTGAAAGTTCTCTAATTAACCCTAGAATTCTAAATCTAAAACCAATTAGAAGCAAAATCACATCACTCATCACCTTCTTGGTCAGTATTTATCAATAACTTGGTATGCAATTGAGCATTAACCTAAATCTACAAAAAAACAAAGTCAAATTCGCGCTTAGGATGATAAATTGCAAAGAAAAGGCGTTATTTTCAAATCAGGAAAGCAGAATTTAATATATTATATATAAAAATTGCCTATTTTGACAAGATGAGGCCATCCAGATTGGTAGAAATTTCATTAGCGGTAGCAAGTCATAAAAGAAATTAGAATTTAAGTAATATATATTCAATTATTTGAAGCCCGAACTAAATCCTAAGAAACCCAAGAGTATTCAAGGAAAGCCCAAGAGTTTTAAATGAAATAAATGCAAGAGAAATGAAGCTACAAAGTCTATCTCTCAAATATTAAATCAATGATATAGATTGTTTGAGGGATTCTATGGTTATGAGCGTTACTTGGGGCCTAAGCAAAATCTTATGGTTGTGAGGATTACTCGGGAGCCAAGACAAATCTAACAGTTATGAGAGATTCTTATCATCTATAAATAGAGGAGTAGTGTGCTGGTCTGAGGAGGTAAAATTTTTTATAATAATCTCTCTTTGGAGAGGATGATTACTTTTAATTGAGAAGATATTTCAAATTATAAACTTTATTTATAATTAATAAGAATATTTGTTCTCCACTTAGATTTTATTTTCTTCTTCTTTGTTGATGTGAATAAAGATGAAGATTTGCTTTCAAGGAGTGACCCTCTTGCAATAGTGAAGAAAATACTTTGTGGCCTGAAACAAGCACTGTGAGCATGGAATGTACACATTGATGGTTATGTACATGATAATGGCTTCACCAAATGCTCTTTGAACACATAATCTTAATGAAGAAAGACAATAATGAATATGCCTTTATGTTGATGATCTGTTATATGTAATATGGTCTCGGAGTTCAAGATAACAATATTTCAGGAGTTTGAAATGACAAATTGTGAACTTATGTCCTATGTTCTAGGCATTAATGTACATCAATAACCGATGAGATCTTCGTATCCTAGAAGTAGTATGCAAAGGAGATACTTGAGAAGTTTAAAATGGATAGCTACAATCTAGTGAACATGCCAAATGTTATTGGCCTCAAACCATACAAAGAAAAAGAATTTAGAGTTGTTGAATCAACTCAGTACAAGAGCTTAGTTGGAAGCTTGAGATACTTAACTATTTCTAGACATGACATTGTCTATGGTGTAGGACTCATGGGTAGATTTATGGAGATGCCAAAAGAATCCAATTGGCTTGCCTCAAAGAGAACTATAAGGTATATTAAAGATAGTATGAACTACAATCCCTTCTATGCTTATGGAAAGGATGCAGAACTAATGGACTGTTCTAGTAGCAACTAGGGAGGAGATCAAGATGAAAGAAAGAGCACTACAAGGTATATCTTCTATCTTGGTACAATAGCTCTTTCTTGGTCTTCAAAGATGCGGGATATTGTTTTTTTTGTCTTCAAAGATGTTGGATATTGTTTCTTTGTGAACATGTGAAGCAGAATTGTAGCAGTAGCATATATTCTTTGTGAAGCAATTTGGGTGAGGAACACTATAAGAAATCCGGTATTTAACGACCAAAATTAGTGAAGGGACCAGTTAACCGTCATTAATGTGTGTAAAATAATAACGGTTTTAAAGCCCTTCATCGAGTTTTCACAATTATTAGAGTAATGATAGGAGATGGGATAACAGTTTTCTAGTCCCTTCGTTAATTTGGTTTTAATACCGTCGTTATTGGGCTTCCTAAAAGACGAAGGAGTCTATTACCTTCATTAATAACTCCTAATCCTAATCATAACAGGCTACTAACCCAAACAACCAAACTAACCAAAATTAATATAAATTAAGAACCGAAACAACCCAATAAGCGACATTCTCCTCTTAATTTGAAACCCAAACCAACGAGGATTAATATAAAAGTCGAAACCCTAATTATTTCTTCGTTCACGTTGAAAGACATCGCCAGCGCCACCTCTTCCACCGCCAACCGCCGCTGCCCAGCGCCAGAACCGCCGCTGCCCATCGCCTGAACCGCCGCCTCTTCCCCTGTGCCAGCGTCGCCTCTTCACTACGCCTCCGCCAGCGCCTCCCTGCCCAGCGCCAAAGCGCCCACTAATTGAAAGAATCGCCAGCGCCACCTCTTCCAGCCGCCAGCACCGCGCTGCCAGCGCCAGAACCGCCGACTCTTCTCCGTGCCAGCGCGCCCGTCGTCGGCGTCTCCCAGCATCGCGAGATTCTTTCCGCTGCCTTCTGGTCGCTGCCCTGCCGCCGCCTTTGGTCGCTCCTTTTTGAGTTACAATTGCATTAGTCCCTATAATTTAGCCGACTAGGACTTTTGCCATAAATGACCTATACATTAGTGTTAATGTTGTTCTTATAAGATACTTAGTATTCATTCCATGCTCAGTCTCCTTAAAATAATTTTTTTTGCCCACATAATTTTTTTCCTATCTTATTTTTGCGGTTCGTCACGTGAAATTTTATCTAAAAATATCTTATAGTTTATGAAAATAGTTTCATATGCTAGTAATTATTTATGTAATATTAATATATTAATATTATTTATGAAAATAGTTTCAAGTGCTTAAGATATTATGTTTAATATATTAATATTTTAATGTACTAATAATATCATAATACATTATAGTATATTAGTCCGATATCTACTATTATATATAACCAACTTTGCGCATTTCATCACATAATTACATTCCATAATTAAACATAAAAACATAGATAGTTGAAAAATATGATATAGTAAAACATTTCTTAATATTTGTAGCTATTCTACAATGAAAATTGCAGTTCACACACACGTGACATTTTAAAAGCTAGGGGTGTTATGCCAAACATAGAGGGATTTTGTAAAACTTACCCAACCGCATTATTGACACATGTTCTAAGTATATAAACACAAAAGCCAATGACAATTTAGGCCCCCTCCACTGCCAAAAAATAGTTGAACGATCAGTAATACTTTGATCACAACTACTAACTATCTAAATACAAAATCAATTGATTCTATGAAACAATAATGGTTGACAATGAAAAAGCTATACAAACACACATGATTTAAAAAACACAAGAATAAGTTTGATAGCATGTTGCACATTCGTTTCTTCTAACCTTTTCAGAATTATAAAACTCTGGTAGGTAATTAGCAACTAACATAGTTGCTGACATCTTGTATACTGGCGGCAAGATGCAGTCATCATACAAATAAGAAATTGGAAATAATTTGCAAATATATACAATGCTTGTGTGTACAAATATATTTATCAATTTATAAAAAAATATGGTTTAGTTTCATAATGATGCTTTGGAGGAGATATTTGTAAATATATACAATGCTTGTGTGTACAAATAAAATATAGTCAATATTTATTAAACCGCAATCTAATTATAAACTAATTATATTGTTTTTTTTTGTTTTATAAAGTCGAATATCCAGCATTTGTACATTGCTTGGAAATGGCACCGAATAAAGATTGGATGGACCTAGTAGATGATAATAGACTTGATCTAAAATATGTAGAAGGGGTTGATAAGTTTTTAGACTATGCATATGAGAAGCTATTTAATAGTTTCAATCAGAACAATGGCAACTTTGAAATTCGATGTCCATGTATTAAATGCAGCAATGTGAAGTCTGGTAATTGTGAGTCGGTAAAGACCCACTTGATTGTTCATGGAATTATTAAAAACTATAGATTTTGGTGTCATCACGGTGAAAGACAGGGTGAGTCCATTTCGGAGTTTGATGAAGAACAAGAAGAAATAATAGAAGAAAGCCAGAGTGACGATGAAATGTAAGAAATGATTGGAGATTTATTTCATAATTCAACTGGCGTTGTTGCACCTGATGCCACGTCGAGTCAGGATATTCTTGAGCAGGAACCAGATGGACATGCAAAACAATTCTACAGTCTTTTAGGTGACTCCGAGAAACCTTTGTATGAAGGCTCTAAATGTTCAAAGTTATCTGCTTTAGTGAAATTACTTCACATAAAGAGCCTAAATAGGTGGAGTAATAAATCATTCTCAATGTTGCTCCAGTTTTTGAATGAGGAGCTATTGCCAGGGGAATCAACACTGCCTAATTCGTATGACGAGGCCAAAAAATTAATCCGAGACCTTGGCCTATCATATGAAAAAATTGATTCGTGTCCATTCTCTTGCATGCTGTTTTGGAAAAATGAAGAAGGTCTTGATACGTGTCAGAGATGTGGTGCTTCTAGATGGAAACTTGATAAACATGAAAAAGAGATCAAGTGAAAGGCAAATGGTAAAAAAATACCACAAAAGACATTGCGATATTTTCCTCTTAAGCCACGATTGCAAAGGCTTTACATGTCTTCAAAGACAGCTTCTGATATGAGATGGCACCATGAAAGACAAGCTGAGGACGGAGTGATGAGACATCCAGCTGACTCTAAGGCTTAGAAAAACTTTAATGAGCTACATGAAAGCTTTGCCGAAGAGCCCCGAAATGTTAGGCTCGGTCTTGCAAGTGATGGTTTCCAGCCTTTCAAAAATTCAAAAGTTTCTTATAGCATATGGTCCGTTTTACTTGTACCATATAACTTACCATCATGGATGTGCATGAAGCAATCCAATTTTATTTTATCTATGCTCATTCCTAGTCCAACTGGTCCTGGAGATGCTATTGACACCTACTTACAACCATTGATAGAAGAACTAAAGGAGTTGTGGGCCTCAGGCGTTCGAACATATGATGTATCTCTGAGACAGAATTTCATTTTACGTGCAGCACTAATTTGGACCATTAATGATTTTCCTGCTTATGCAAATTTATCTGGATGGAGCACTAAGGGGAAATTAGCATGTCCTTGTTGTAATAAGCACACTCACTCTATCAGGTTAAAATATGGAGGCAAGCAGAGCTATATGGGGGCATCGTCGCTATCTTGATGAAAATCACAGTTGGAGAAAGGATAAGAAATCATTTGATGGCACTAGGGAGAGAGGGTATGCAGCGTCGAAGCTGACCGGAGATGACATCCTTAAGCAGGTGGAAGATCTTATAGGGATCACCTTGACCAATCATCCAGAGAAGAAAATTAAAATATCACACGAAAGACAGGGAGATAATTGGAATAAAAAAGGTATTTTTTTTTGATTTGCCATATTGGAGAACTCTCTTATTGCGACATAATTTAGATGTCATGCATATTGAGAAGAATATTTATGATAGTCTGCTGGGAACAATCATGAACATTAAAGGAAAGACAAAGGATAATATCAAAGCCCGTCTCGATTTACAAGCAATGAGTTTAAAACTGGAGTTACATCCAATCCAGAGAGGAGATAAACTTGTGATGCCAGCAGCTTGTTATACTTTATCCCAAGAAGAGCAAAGCAAATTTTGTCGATTTCTAAAGGAGTTAAAAGTTCTAGATGGATTTTCATCCAATATTTCTCAATGTGTAAACCTTAAAGAGCGTAAGATTTTGGGGTTAAAGAGTCATGACTGTCACGTTCTTTTGCAGCGCTTGATTCCTGTATCGATTCGTGGCCTTCTTCCTGCAAAAGTGTGTGAACCAATTATTGAACTTTCCATATTCTTCACTATATTATGTGCCAAGACATTAAGGGTGGATGAACTTAAGCAAATTGATGAGCAGATTCCACTTACGTTATGTAAGCTTGAGAAGATTTTTCCACCTTTAATTTTTGATGTTATGTTGCATTTAGTAGTTCATTTAGCATCTGAAGCTATACTTGGAGGGCCTATTCGATTTCGATGGATGTACCCAGTGGAGCGTCAGCTTTATACTTATAAGTCATATATTAGAAATAGGGCACGTCCAGAAGGGTCAATTGCTGAAGGATATATAGCAGATGAATGCATGACTTTTTGCTCAAGATATCTAAAAGGCTTCGAGACAAAGTTTAATCGCCTTGAAAGAAATTATGAAGATGACAATAGAGAATGTAATGAAGCACAACTATCTATTTTCAGACATAGTGGGCGGGCATTGGGTGCTGCCACCACCCGCTACCTTGATGAACGTGAGTGGTTGCAAGCTCATATTTATGTTCTAAAGAACTGTGATGAAGTGCAACCACACATTGAGTAAGTCACTAAAGTTTAAGATTCTACTAATAAATTTACTATAGTTAGTCAACGTTAATCATATTTATGATATTTTAATGTAGGGACTATAATGAATTCGTAAGAGAACCCACAAATCACTATGATGATAAAGATTGGGATAAGAACTTTATCGATTGGTTCCAAGCTCTAGTACGTACATATCTTGCCTTATTTTTTTAATATCTTGATTGGTTCATTTTATTACATGTTCCATGACTTGATCATATTTTGGTTTTGTTTAGGTTTATCAGAGTTATCGAGAAGATGATGACTTACTTTCACTATCTCGTGGTCCAAGTAAGATTGTTAAATGTTTTACTGGATTTGTCATAAATGGACATCGATTTCATACAGAAAGTCGAGATAATTGTTTGTCAACTCAAAGTAGTGGGGTTGCAGTTGTTGGTGATGCTGGTGATGGTGGAGATATAGATTATTATGGTGCTTTGGTTGAAGTTGTCGAATTAGAGTATCCTGGTAGAAGAAAGGTTGTTCTATTTCGTTGTAAATGGTGGGATGTGCACGACAAAGAAAAAGGGACCGCTTTGAAAGAAGACAAATATTGATTTATCAGTATTAACTGCCGACACTTGCTAAAGACGAATGACCACTTTATACTTGCTGGCCAAGCATCACAAGTTTTTTATGTTGAGGATATTACCAATGAAGGTTGGCATGCAGTTCTTAAAGCACAACCCCGTGATTCCTATGATATGCCACCAGATACAGATGATTGTGAGATAACAGACGATGGAGTTGAAGCTTATTTGCAAGATGAATCATTTGATGCTCAGGCTATTGCATTAACATCATTGGAAGATGATTATATTAATTTGAGAAGGAGTGATATTGATCCAATTATTGTAAATTCGGTCTTAACTTCAAAAAAGAGGAAAAAGACTCAAGCAGAGAATTAGAGCACTTTAATTAAAGAATAGAACACAAATGATATTGTGTTATTGAGATAAATTTTAAGTTGTATCTTCACTATAACTATTCCTTTTTTAGATATATGATGTTCTTTTCTTCATATTTTGGATGTGGCTTTGACATTGCAGCAAGTGCTTCTACATTAGTGTATTATGTATTTATTATTATGCTTGTCCTTAGGGATTTCTTTTTCTTTTATTCATTTCTCTTTTGACATTTGTTTCATACATAGTGTGTAATACTTAAATTCCTTTTCATAGCAGGAAAATGAAAACTCAAGAAGTCACTTCCAAAAGCAAAAAGGCACAATTTCTAGCACCCAGGTCATTAATTAGGAAGCGACTTCAAGCAATTGCAGAAAATTCATTAAGAAGGGAACAACTCCGTACTTGTCATGACATGAACTTGAATATTCAAAATCCAACACAAGATCAAAATATGGATGCAAATTTTAGCGCTGATTCAGAAAACTTTGAAGAGGAGAATTTTGCACAAAATCGCAGGAGAAGTGCAAATACTAACAATGAAGAGAATGATGATTCTGCAGGTTGATGAGACTTAAAATTTATTGTTATTTCTTTTTTATCTTTCAATTTATTTTTTATGATTGGATTAATAATTGCCTAATTTTTTGCAGAATCAAATAATCATCGAGTGCAAAGTGATTATGTAATACTAAATGAATCTCGACAAGAAGGTATATTCTTTATTAATTACAAGAAGTAATTTTTTTATCAATTTCTTTTTACCTATATCTTGTTTCTAACATATGATATGATGTATGCAGCTGTTAATTCTCATAAGAAGAAAAATCCACCTCGTGGTAATAATAAGTGTCTAAAGTTGAATAATTTGTCACATGGGGAGAAAAAGATCATTACTTTTTATCAAAATGAGCTATTGAACCAGAATTTTCACGATATCTTAGAATTATTATTCGAGATAGAAATATTTGCCCAGTAGCTATTGAGAATTGGGCCAAAATACCACAGCAAAATAAAGATCATATGTGGGCATCCATTAAGGTACATTGAAAATTAATTAAATGCATTTGGTTTTTAATTCTTATCCATGTATATTGTTGGATTGTTGAAATTATCTTTTAATCTTGATGTATAGAAAGCAAGCCAACAAAATACACTTAACAGAGGCAAAAGAAAGATGCTCCACCACACGGGCAGCAAACCCTTTAGACAAATTACGTGGGAATTGGTATACATTCAAAACTAATTTCTTATTTATTTATAACTACTTTGTTTTTTAGTTTGATGTTGTACTCATTTTTATTTAATATTTGAATAAGGGTGGCAAGTCAGGAAATCCACCTGATGTGGCAAAAATGTTTCATGAAACTCGAAAGAAAGCTAATGAAACACTAGAAAATGGGGATCAAGATAAATATGTAAGTAGAATATGTGTTTAAGTTTGATAATGATGCATTATATAGTACTAACATATGAATTTAATTTTTATAGGATGAAATTGTTCAAGTCAAACAAGCAAACCCTTCACTTTCTGACATTGAGATAGTTGAGAAAATCTGGGGGAAGCAATCTCATGGTCACATTACTGTATTTGGTGGCGGGACTACTTTGAAAGATTTGAGAGGACCGCTCCCTAGTCGATCTGATCTGGAAGCACGGGTTATAGAAGAAAAGAGAAAGAATCAGATGCTTCAACAACACTTAGATGAGCAGGAGCAACAACAACAAAGGATGTCTGAGTTGGAGTCACAAGTGAAAGCTATGCAAGAAATTTTTTTAGGAAATCACCTTCATTGACTCCTCAAACTCGAGAACATGTGCAGGACTAGGTAATTATTTTTTATAAAATTTCGTATATACTTTTATGATTGACTACTTGCACTAAAAAATGTAATTTTTTATTTAATAAGATGATATTTGTTTAATTGATATTTCTTAATTATGTGATTTTTTTTTAAATTTTTTAGGCTATCCATGCAAGATTAGGAGGGGGTAGTTCGAGTCTTCTTTTGACGATGATTAGAGGTGTCAGAGATGTGTCTTTCCCAAACTTTTATTTTAATTTGTTTTAGATAGTTTCATGTATTTTTCTTTGGAACAATTAGGATATTAACTCTTATTATTAGTATTGAATATTTGAGGATGGTGGAATTTTATTTATTGATGTTATTAATGAATGGAATTTTTATTTTACCTCTTATTCATTATTGGGTATTTTTAATATGTTTTTGTTGTGAATCTTAGTGTCTGGGTGAGAATAATATGATAGTTGCCTATGAATGAAAAAATTATTATTAATGTATATTACAAATTTGTAGTCTACAATGACGGTTTTATAAACCGTATTTTGTTCATCAACGAAGGGAAAGCACCGTCGTTGATGGGTTACTAATTACCCATTATGAGGACTTTTACGACGGTATTCAATGGTCATTAATTAGTCTTTAACGATAGGAAAATATCCCCGTAACTAATGGTAAATTATTAGTATTGAATATTTGAGGATGGTGGAATTTTATTTATTGATGTTATTAATGAATGTAATTTTTATTTTATCCCTTATTCATTATTGGGTATTTTTAATATGTTTTTGTTGTGAATCTTAGTGTCTGGTTGAGAATGATATGATAGTTGCCTATGAATGGAAAATTTATTATTAATGTATATTAGAAATTTGTAGTCTACAATGACGGTTTTATAAGCTGTATTTTGTTCATCAACGAAGGGAAAGCACCGTCGTTGATGGGTTACTAATTACCCATTATGTGGACTTTTACGATGGTATCCAACCGTCATTAATTAGTCTTCAACAACGGGAAAATATCCCCGTAACTAATGGTAACGACGGGAAAATATCCCGTCACTGATGGTAACGACGGGAAACTATCCCGTCACTGATGGTAACGACGGGAAAATATCCCCGTTACTGATGGTAACGACGGTGATAATTACCGTCGTAAATATTAATGACGGTAATATGTTCCGTCGTTATAGACTCTATAACGACGGGTAGTATATCCCTTCGTGACCCTTTAGCGAAGAGGGCTTCAACGACGGGTGACGAAGGGATTTTTCCCCGTCGTTATCATACAATAACGAAGGTTTTCAGCTCTTTAACGAAGGGAAATACCTTCGTTAAAGATGTAATTTCTTGTAGTGGAATGTATTGAAGGAGCTGGAGTCTTGATCATTTTATTTATTACACTTTTATACACTCAATATCAATATTATTAGTATAAATATTTCTGCTAATATTATTTTTTATCTTTATTGATCGGTAATAAAAAATTATCGAACAAGTGCTCAAATAAAGATTATCTCAAGCCTGAAAGTTCTCTAATTAACCCTAGAATTCTAAATCTAAAACCAATTAGAAGCAAAATCACATCACTCATCACCTTCTTGGTCAATATTTATCAATAACTTGGTATGCAATTGAGCATTAACCTAAATCTACAAAAAAACAAAGTCAAATTCGCGCTTAGGATGATAAATTACAATGAAAAGGCATTATTTTCAAATCAGGAAAGCAGAATTTAACATATTATATATAAAAATTGCCTATTTTGACAAGATGAGGCCATCCAGATTGGCAGAAATTTCATTACCGGTAGCAAGTCATAAAAGAAATTAGAATTTAAGTAATATATATTCAATTATTTGAAGCCTGAGCTAAATCCTAAGAAGTGTTCGCGGGGAAAACTGTTGTCCTTTTCATTGAAATAATTGTCATCTTGACTTACAAAAGATCCGGTC